TTTGTGCAAAGATAATCGAGAGCTACCTGCACCATCCGTCTCTCACTTTAAGTGATAAACTAGAAGGAATTCAACACCACTCACCGTGGATTACTCTTATCAAATAATGGAATTTGATCCTTACTCTTATAACGCACTCACAGCCTAAAGTGCAGAGCGCGATTTTCTTTTCCATTTGGCTTTAATGGCAGAAGAACCATTGACATTCAGCCTCGTAAAAGAATGAAATGTTAAGGAAATAATTTATTTAAAACCACGGGAGAAATGCTGAGAAAGGTATTGTTGAGTTAGGCATTATGAAAGATGTTTTGAAATTACCCCTTAAAATTTTAAGTGTTCTATTTTTAAAGGAGGGGTAAGTTTTGTCATATATGTAAGCGTCGACTACTGGAGAATGTGAATGATTGAATAAGTCGTTAATTGTTTAATTGCTTCAGTTAAAACGGGATTTAACTGATCTGAAATCTAAACATCAAGAACCACTGCATGAGCTTGCGGTTAAATATGAAAGGAAATAGAACTTTTTCCACGTTTAACGGTAAAGCTATCTATCCTAGCGACATCTGGTGTAGAGTTAACAAGTTTCTTTTAAAAAAAAGTAGAACAAATTTCCACCATCATATTGATATAGAACATTTCCAATCAAATAAAAGCGAATTTTTAGTGACTCTTATTGATACTAATAAAACGTAAATGGTACACCTAACACAATACCAAATGTTTTTTTGTTGTTTTGTTTTTTTCTGTTCTGTTCTTCTTGCCTATTAGAAATTCCTTGAAAGTAAGCTTGGTCATTTACAAGTTACAGACGGTTGATACCTTACATTTTGTACCTTGGTGGGTCAACAGCATGTTTACGGACTTATAACGCTAAAACACGCGGTTCGATTCCCATTTTGTAGCTTCACGCTAAAAAAAAAAAAACAGAAAAATTTACATAATTTATATGAGCTGGAATTAAATATTTATAGAACTTAAAAAAAATTGTTCACGTATATACTTTAAAGTACATTTTCAAATTTACAGTAAATACAGCAGTTTTATTACAGTAAAATTAAAGTGTCAGGTTATCACAAACTGGGTATCTGAGCCACTAATAGAAAAAATGAATGAAATAAATAAACGAAAACTTTACAATTAATTTCCTCAAAAAGACATAATAAATTCCAGATATAGCAACTGTACGAACTAGCAGCCCCCCAGTGGCACAGCGGTATGTCTGCGGACTTACAACGCTAGAAACCGGGTTTCGATACCCGTGGTGGGCAGAGCACAGATAGCCCTTTGTGTAGCTTTGTGCTTAAATACAAACAAACGAACTAGCAAACCACCATATTTATCTGTTGTTAACAAAAAATTCTACGGTGGAATGCACATTTTCCTTGCTATAACATACTACAAAACATCATTCTAACACATTACCCAATGAGCTTTGGCAGGTTGAGAACATAAGCCAACTAACCTATCCTCCAGATGTATAGAATATATATTTTTCTGCAAGCCAGCAGTAACTTTTCTAACACTATTCTACAACTGTGCCGAGCGTGACCTCATGGTTAGCATACTGGACTGAGACTCTGAGAATCCATGCTTCGCATTAGGTTGCTTCAAAATTGCTCTCCTTACTTTGTGACCAACGAGTGCATTACAAATTAGTGATGATCAAATCATTCTATATGATTATAGTAGTCCAAAAGTGGGTGGTGGGTGCTGTTGACCATCTAGTCTAATAGTTCAAAAATTATTATCAGATAGTCCTTGTGTGTATCTGCACGATTAGTTCCTGAAACAAACAATTGTACTGTCCTGATAAAAAAACAATGCAGCAGTAACTTGGTGCTTGCTTCAAAATAAAAAGATATGGTACTTCAGTTAGAATCCCAAGAAGAACTGGTATTCAGTTCAGCAGCCCCCCCCCCCTCTCCATGCACTATAACATACACATTAAAAATCATTTTAGTATACGAAGGTTTCATTGTAATTGGCGTTACCCCTTTGTAACTATGTAGTTTCATGGTTTAACTGATATCACTAGAATGTTATCCCAATTGCACTAGTATCAGTTATAAGTCTACAAGGAAATCATTCATGAATCATTAAGTTCTGCCCCACTTGACCAGTATGATTGTTGGGTGCTACCTTAGGAAGTTTTAATACATCATATAAAAAAAATAACCAGTGATCCTAGAAGAAGAGTAATCACATGTTCATTTAACAAGAACTGATACACCAGCATTGCTATTTCTTGAATGAATGTTGAAGAGGTAAAAAATGTGCAGTGTCATGTTAAAAAGAAATCATGTTCTGCTAGTTTTTCTGAAGATTTACCATTTCAACACTTTAGAAACTACCTCTTCGTTTTATAGTAACATTGTTCCAATATCAAATGTCATCCCTTTGCATAGCATGCAAGAACATTCAACATTTCATGTTTTATGACTTCTTATAGTTATTTCTCCTTGAGCATCTCATTCTTGGATCCATTATAGGCATTCTCCACATAATAATGAGTATTTCCTTCAATTTATTTTAACCAAATTTGGCTATGTACATTGCTAATGGAAACATAGCCAAGTATTAAATGCTCGTTTCTGTTAAAAAAAAAAAAAGACTTATTGCAGCCAAAGAGGCTCTAGTGTAAGTTATCTCTTAACACTCTTTCAGTCCTATCTTCAACCTCGACTACCAAAGCTACTAATTTTTAGGATATCTTCTTTTGACAATGGGGGCAGCATGGCTTTGTTTGTTGGACTCGTAATCAGATGGTTCCAAGTTCATGCTGTTTGTGTCCTTGAAAAAGACACTTTACCCCACTTTTTCCATAGCAAGAACTTAACTTTCTCTGTTTACAATATTTCTTCAACACCAACTCTTCTATAACCATCTTTCAGTCTTAGCTTCTCTTCTTGATCTCCAATTAAATTCTCAAAGCTGCAACACACAAGTAGCCATTAAGCAGCCTCATACAAATCTGTCACAAAAATACAGACTTTGTGATGTTCTCTTGTTCTCAAAGAAATTTCAGTATTTATAAATGAACCTCTTCCTTTTAACTAGCATTCTTCAGTGACTAAACTAGTAGGTTTATAAGCAAACATGTTTTATCTAACCCACAAAAAAACAATGCATGTAATTAAGAACATACAAATTGATGTTTAATTTATATATAAAAAAAATCCTGTTAAGACGTACTACATTGGACAGTGACTTAACTTGGCCATAGGCTATACAATCATTGACTAAGATATCGGTGTGTATAATTTTTTCATGACACCCCTACTTTCTAAATGTATTCTTTTGCACTCCCCTGCACACCATATAACCTATTAGTGTATATACTGTACATCACTTTTATATGCTAATTGTTGTTACCATATTACTTAATAGTTATTAATTCTTCATTTTTAATTGTACTTTCATATATATGCTCCTATAGTCATAATTAGAGCCAATGCTGCTAACAACGAAATTACTGTAACCCTCACCATGCATCAGTGGGGGTTGATTGAAATAGTAACAATGAACCTAGAGCCTTCTGATGAACTAACACAGGAATTAAGTTCCTCCACAGCCTACGCTTCCAAAGTTATACCACCCACAATGGCTTAAAAAAAAAAGACTTTGGAGCAACTATACAGTTTCAAACCATGGGATTAAATCTACACAAATGTTGTTGACAAACTTGGAACAAATGGAAGAAAAATATAATGACATAGAACACACAAGTAATGAAGAACCTATCACAATGAAATCAAAGCAAGTAGATAATAGCACTTCTACAAACTCAGCAGTACAGTCTGTTCAGTGTGTGATGAAATATTAAAGAAAAACACCAGTGGGTAGGAACTGAAGGAGAGAACAGCAGTGTTGTGCTTCAGAAGCAGTTACTTGCGTACACCCATGCTTGGAAGCACACAATAACTGCAATACTGGGAGAGTAACAAAGGCCATTTTGCCACTTTGGTTGAAGCTGCACTGAAGTTTCTACCCCCCTGCAGCAGCACTGACAGCAGTTGGTTGTTCAGTGTTGCCTCATATGTTGTGGATGAGAAGAGGAATGGGCCAATGTGCAATAAAGCAGAAATGTTGCTTTTTGTGAAGAACCTTCCATTCACAGACTTGCTACACTAAACACAGCTAAAAAAAGCCACAAGTATAATTCTGATATTTTTTTTATTACTTGAATAAGTAAACTTTTTAAACTTATTTTTAGTTATTATTACTGCTGCTATTACAAAATGTATCACATAAATTTCGTTTTGTATTAATTGGAATTTCTTGAAAGTGTATCCATGTTGTGCTTGAAGCCAAAAGCTATCTTTTGTTCTCTGAAGTGACAAAGATGTTAGTCTGAACTTTGTGAAATAAACTGAATAGATGTATGCTAACATTTTTTGTGGTGAAGTACAAAATTATATTTACATTTATAAAGTTTCTACTATAAAATAACAGAAGTTATAGCTACAATGTTAAAGTTAATTGTGTTTTTATTTTGCTAAGTGCCACTAGAAGTACTATGCAAAGTATTTTTAAAACTTTTTTTAATGACCATTATTATTTTTATTCATTTTCTGAACTAAATGCACCAACTAAATACTATTTGCAAATTTCTGTTAAAAATACAACCAGAAAAATAAAAAACCTATACACTGAATTCTAATTTTTTCAGTAGTTTAAAGTACCTTATCAGTACTAATGCTAAATATCCATATCAGCTGTTATGGTCGGGTAATCGTTAGCTAACAGTACCAGACAAGTAAATCTTAATCAGTGCATCCATAGTTTATATAGAATATTGAATAAAAGTTAAGGTATTCAGATTTAATTTTTCACAAATTAAAATTCTTCCTCAATATAATAAAAATTCATTATCCAGCATACATATATATTGGCTCTCACGTTTGATAGTCAAAATCACTTAAATCACAATGAAAGGTTAAGAGTTTAATTGTTGTCACACAACAAAAAGCTAATGGCCAATTTATAAAGATTCTGGAGGCTTAAATTTTTATTGAAAATTTTATTTTTGGGCTGAACTACACATACAAGGGTTCAAGGAAAACTTTCGAATAAAATATACTATGACTCATAATCCAAGTCTTTCTCTCTTCTTCATGTCTTCATGGGTTCTCCCACACCATCTACTTTAAATCCTTGCTTTTCTAGTTCTTCTCTACAAGAAAGAGACAAAAAGAAAGAATAATAAATAAATAAGAATAAATTAGATATGTTGAAACACTACACTATAAACTAGGGCTACAGTGATCAAATTATTTCAATTAAAATATGTACAAAAAGTTGTCATTACAGAAACAATTATTAAATTATAACCTTTGTTTCTTTTTTTTGTATATGAAAAGTACAAACATTATTGTTGGATGAGGCTTTGTCACTCTTGGATTATACTTCCATAATATCTCATAATATAGAACAATAAAGTTTCGTGATGGCATATTTTAATCTAGAAAAATAAAGAAACAAATTAGCTCCAGTACTTGATAGAAAAGTCTAACAATAAAAGTATACACATATGTACACAATTTTGTGTATGTTAGTTCAAAAATATTTCTAACGTTTCTTTTCTGTTTCTTGACTTAACCCTGCGTTAGTCTTCTGGGGTCTTCACGGACCCCAAATATTTTGTAAATATAGGCGCCAACAGATGGAAACATGTACATGTTTGTTGTTCTCAGTAGCTTCAGTATTCGGTTAGTTTGTGTTAAATTGTTACACTTAGTTTAGGTGGTAAAAAAGAAACAAGTTGTAATATTCAATGTTCATTTATTGATTAATAAAGGAAAAGATTTTGAGTGTTAGTGTTTTTTGTTTCCAAAATAATAGTTTATTATTATTTAAATACTTTTAAATTATTCTTTTTTTTAATGATGGGATCTGCTCGGGCCCCAGAAGAAAGACTATGGAAAATGTTTAGGGTTAATTTATTATTGCTTTTATCCATTAAATTTTCAAATTCAATACACCTTTACAGCAAATACTTGAATAATGGTTCACACTACACAAACACAATCATATTAAGTATTTAAAAGTATTATAAACTACAAAATGCTAGAACAGCCCTGAAGATTATTCTATATTTGGTGAACACTGATAAGGTAACTTCTCTTTGTTTCAGCAATGCACTTTCAAGGTAGGGTGAAATGTCTGGATAAGTTGCAAGCAAAAAAATTAACTACCACTGATAAATGTTCCAAAATACATTATCATTGTACATACGCACTGGAAAGTATTACTATTTGCTTACCGAAGTTGTTTGCTAAAATCATCTTCAATGTTATCATCATCCCAATTATCTTCCCACACATTTACATCCTCATCATCTTCAGCCTTCCCTGTCCAATCTGATAAAAGTGGAACATGTTTTTATAAGTTTTTTAATTATATTTATTATTGTTAATTATTTCTATTACCAATTTGAATCTTGTTTATTATTGTATATATGGGGTCAAAAAAAGCTACAATATACATTTACTTTGCTAACATGTGTAAACCAGGAGATTTTGACAAAAGATGTTGTTAAAGATTGAATCAATAGAGATCAGTTCTAACTACTAATTGAGTCATGTTAAGTGAGCCAATGGGCCACACTTCACCTTTCAGATTTCATTGATTTTTCACACTTGTTGTTTTTAATAAGAATTTCACTGTATTATTTAGCCACATTTAAAGTCTAATAAATTACAAAATGCTTGTTTTACAAACTTAAACTATAATAAAAGTATATAACTTTCAATAGTTTATATAATATTAACTTCTTAATGCAAATGCAGCCAGAGAAATATTCTATTGTCTACTATGTGAAATAATATTCAATTTGTTTTTAGTAATTAATTCACCCACATTGTTCAAATTTATGAGTGACCTTTTTTTTTTTGCCTGTATGTGTGGTAAAAAAAAGTTTTCACATATGTGAACTATTCAAATTTAAGACTTGACAAGCTCTTTTTTTTTTTGAGTCATTGCCTTGTACTCCGATTGTGTATCCACACCAAAAAAAGTTAACAGGTCTGAATTCAATCATTAATATAGCCACCTAAAATGTGTAAAATCATGACTGAAAGACATAAATGCCTTGTTCAAACACAAACTATACATTACCTATTGGCATATCTTCCAATTACACGTATCCTTAATCTGACACTGATTTACTCTGACCCACAGTTTTTATGCCAGTAATATTAGTAAGTGTAATCCCATGTAAAAGCTAACATCCCTTGTAGTGTACCTTTGCTATGGCAGGTTTATTACCTACACGCCCTCTACTGGAATCACCATGAATTATAAAATGTGCTTTACGATTGATCTAGCCCTGAAGAATGAAAATGATAAAAACACAATTATTTGAAGTTGTTTCAAATATGATAATTTCTTTGGTACAGCATTACTTGTACCTTAATGTTGTTGGTGATAATTTTTGCACTGGTATGTCTGCTTATTAGTGGCTGTGAATACATACGTATATATGATGAAACAGCACATTCCAATCTTAATACACAAATTTGTAAATAAAGTATATTGAATTAGTTTTATTGGCTGCCATGTTAATTTTTAGTTTTCTTCTAGCTTCTAACTATGTATCTTGTTCTGATTGAAAGTATATATGTGTGTGTGTGTGTGTGTGTGTGTGTGTGTGTGTGTCATTGTAGTAAGTATTGCTATTTAACTTATATCTTTTCAGGAAACATGTATGAATAATAAATATTAAAATACTTTGTTTCCTACAGCTGATAATTACATTTTGCCTATCATTAGTCTACAATTAAATAGTTATATATACATATTCAATTAAATATATATATATATATATATATATA